TATATTATTAATAATTTTTACTAGATATAGAATATTTTGTTGCTTTCGCAAAAATGTAAGAATTTAGCAAAGTATCTTTTTATTAATTTAAATTTTTTTGTGTAAATATAATATGCAAAAGTAATTAATAAAAAGGTATTTAATTTATATAAAAATTTTAACATACATGTAATTTATTATCCTGAACAACTTTATTTAAGGCATAAATATTAATTGACTTAGTAAAATTTTAAATTTAAAATATAGCTACGATTATCGATTAGAAAAGTAATAAAGTTCGTAACTTTTTATAAGTAATTCAACCAATAAAATTATTTGATATGCAAATGACGCAAATGACCTGGTCATTATTTGATGACTTGGGGTCATTTAAATTTTGATTAAATAACCAGGCATTTACCATCCCTGTCATTAACAAATAAGGACTTTTCTGGGAAAAAATGGCACTCCATAACTATGTAGATTTTGATGGGTAACAAATTGAAAGTTTATCAAATAAGTCTTGTAGAGCGAAAACCTGTAACAGATCATAATGATTTATTATGTTCAGTTACAGGTTTTTGCTCTACAGTACTCCAATCTAGATAGTTCTCGAGGGTTATTCTCCTAGCAAAGATCCAAAATACAAAAACGCAACATACTACGCATATTGTCTCCACTCAAAACCATTTGTTCTAGTCGCGGATAAATACAAAAATCCCTTTTTTGGAGTGATATTATTTTTTACGAATGAATTTGGTATCCAATTCTTTGTGACCAGGGTTAAATATGATGGTCCAAAATCAAGTGCACTGCCGTATAATAATATGTAACAAATTGTTACTAATTTAAATATTTATAAAATTATTAAATATTTGTACTATTATTTACTATTAACAAACCTTATATTGTTTCCGCTCCAATCTAAAACTACACCTCTGTCCACAAAAGTTGTAGGATCAGAGGTATTTGTCGCATGAGTATATGTTACTAAAATGTATTGATCAAACAATGGGTATATTTGTATAGGATTTTTGCCATAAACATAGCAAAAATTAATATCTTGTATTTCCTCGATATTATCAAAATTTATCGGTATAACACTTCCGTCTTCTTGAATAACACGAAGTAATAGCCTCTGCTCTAAGCATCTCTTAGTGCCAACGATATAATTCTCCCGAGCTACGCGAATAACTGCTACACCCGATTTATCTCCATAATGCCCAAGATCTATAATGCGCGGTTGTGCTCCTGTAAGATTAGATGGAGCGGATGTTTCCGTATAAGTAATATTGGAATATTTTATAGAATATTGCGTAAATCCTGTTGGTAAGGCGGTCAACAGAAAAATGGTAATAACTATGAATACCAAATTATATGATAAAGTCTTCATTTCTTTAATTTGACATTGAGCAAAATTATGTCAAAATATCGAGTTTAAATAATTACTTCGGTTAAATGGTTACTACAAATGTAGAAAGTTTATCAATAACGATTGATTCTTGGCACTACGTACTATTCTAAGCGTTGGCCATTTTAGGTATATCCAACTTTATATGACCAAAATGGTCATAAAGTAATAGTAAAATGTTATACAATAGTCATAAGGCCATAAACTATTATTAGCAAATGGGTCATAACAGGTCATAACGAACACTGATTACCATAACTTTCCGGCATGGTGTGAAATTGGATTTGGAACTTAATCTAAAATGGTTGTTCTATAAATAGCTAAAATCAACGGTGCCATAGATATACGTAGAATATTTAGCCCTTAAGTGAATAAAGTGAATTGCTTCCAAAATCGTACGTACCTTAAAAGTACCGTTATCCTATTTGAACTTTAGGAAATGAGTGACATCCAAATTAAGCGAAAAAAATGGTTATAAAAGGGGGACGTCTAAAGCTGAGCAGATTCATATAATATATTTTATTGAATTAACTTTAGGGTTAGGGTCATCTTATATTGGGGTTAGGTTAGGTTTTAGGTAGTTATATATAAGCAAAATTGCCTTCCTGACATTTTTAATTAACCTACCTGAGGCAGGTTTAGACTGCCGTTTTTTGTATTTTTCAGGTTTTTCGTTTTTATGTCTTGTTTTGCTTCGCCGGCGATCATCAAAATTTTATAATTTGATTGGTCAGATATCACGTGATTCTGCTCCGCTTTAGACGACCCCTATAAAAGGAAATTATGGTTTCACGGATTCGGTTGCAAAACTTTAGTATCCTCATTCTTGATCTTGTGTGTTATACGTGCTGTGCTTTCTTGATCAGCCGCTTCGTTTCACTTCTCTCTGAACGGATGTCGTATTTATTTAAAAACCAAAAGAAAAAAAAAAATTTAACCACATAAAATGGAATATCGAGTACGTACTTTTTTCGTGTTACATATTTGTTATTCCAAATAAAAATCGTGTTACATTACTGTGTGTTTTGAATTTTTAGAAAACGACGTATCGTACGATAATTTTAGAAATCTTCATTGTTACATATAATCGTTTACAAATATTTCTTTGAAAAAATAGATTTATATAATGTTTTAGGATTCTGTGCTGCGCTAACCTCGGGTGTCTAAAATGATCTTTTTAAATCTAGAAAAATTGGCTTGCCAAAATAACTATAATTTTATAATGTTATTAATCGTAACCACTGCGGTCGCGCAAAACATATAATCAATTAATTTAACTTATAAAAAGTTAATTTAACGGTCAAAATAAAATTTTATACCTGCGTTCATTAACAAACTAGAACGCGAATTTACATTTATCAAAAACATACGTGAAAACAATGTCTTGTCTCGATGTTATTTTATTTACTTGACATGTTAACCATTCGACCACAATATTTCGTGTTATTATTAATGCACATATAATAATATACTGAATACTATAACCCGTGCTCTAATCAAATAGTAATAATATTTCATATGTAAAATAAAGGGGAAATTACATATCGGGGCCCAAATTTGAAAATAATTATGAATGAGGGCCTAACTTAAAAATATTTATTTATA